TGTAGAAAACAGAAGTTCTTATTTACGTTAAACATTGTAGGAGAATCAGCCACAGGACTCACCATCAAAATCATGGACATGTTGAAAACGATGAATCATGGGTACCGGTAATGTTTTTCATTGATACTTGTCCTTTTCTTGATTCATTCTCTGTTTTTCGATTTCTTTTTCTGCAATTTTTGTTTGTTTTTCTTTTTAGTTTTAAGAATCTGTGGGTAATTTGGGGTTGCGATTTCTTCACTGGATAGTCTAATTTGTGTCCTTGTCATTTTCTTTCTCCAGTTGCCTGAGAAGATCTACAAGAAACTGGATTTGTCGACCAAATTCCTGAGATACAAAGTCCCTTTCCCCCTGTTTGCATATCCCCTTTATCTGGTAAGGTTGCATGTGAGATTATTACAGTTAAAAAGAAATTTACGTGTACTTTTTTGATACGCTCGTTAGATTGGATTGGACAACACGAGACAAGATTATAGTGTGTCTTAACGTCGATGACATTACCATATTTATAATGGATTGAACAATACCTCACACGATTAAGAGAGTGCTGCTTTCTAAACATTCATTTTGTTGGTTTTGTATTTCAGTGGTCTAGGAGTCCAGGGAAGAAGGGTTCACACTTCAATCCTTACAGTGATTTGTTCAAAAGCAGTGAGAGGAAACTTGCGCTCACATCAACAATATGTTGGGCTGCAATGGTTGCTTTTCTCTTTTGCTTATCCATCAGATTTGGACCACTCCTATTGCTAAAGCTCTATGGGGTTCCCTATGTGGTCAGTTCAATTACAGGTTCCCAGTGATTTCCAGATTTCTAATATTCGATTTAGTAACTGTACTTACATTTGCACACAGATATTCGTCATGTGGTTGGACTTAGTCACTTACTTGCACCATCATGGTCATGAGAAAAAGCTTCCTTGGTACCGTGGCAAGGTTTAGCAATCTTAACTCTAGTATTCATTCACTGCATGTTTGGTTGGTATGGAAGTACAAGATTGGACAGTATTAACAATCAAGGAAGAAAAAGAAGTTTAAATCTTGTTTATTATAGTGTTTAGTACTGCGAACTAAACATGCATTCATGGTATGTGTTTAGTGCATTGGATTGGCCAAGACTAAAGAAGGAAGATGAGTAATATATTTTTTTATTTTTAATCTTGTTAAGCCCAATCCAAGGTAGTAAACATGCTTTCTAGATTTGTTCAAGTGCCAAGAGATTCTTATCTATCTGAACAAGGGCATTTTCATTATTTTTTCCTGTCTTGACATTGAACAGGAGTGGAGTTACTTAAGGGGAGGCCTAACCACTGTGGATCGTGATTATGGATTGTTTAACAAAATCCAGCATGATATTGGCACCCATGTTATACACCATCTCTTTCCTCAGATCCCGCATTATCACTTAGAAGAGGCGGTAATACCTCAATTGCTCAAAACTACATTTACCTGTTTGTTAAGTAAGATTGTGGACACAGTTGATAACGAGGAAGAAGCTAAAATCTTATCTACTATACTTTTCGGGTCTTTTCCACTTTTATGTACTCTCATGTGCATACGTTTGTTATATCAATTTGATAATAGTGATTGTTAAAGACGGTAATATCGTAAACTACATTGGCATGTTTAAGAAGTTAGATCCCACAAAACTTGATTATATTAAGCGCTTGTTTGATAAATTAAAGTAAGACTTTTAGCATATTATGATCTTTCGAATTTGGGGAAATCTAATTAAATTTATGAAATGGGCGATCCTAATAAATTCCTTGACAGCTCCGACAATCAAAATTCATGCCTTTCAATTTTGCCCTGACTTAGAGGGGTGATTCACTATTTTACCCGAGTGCTTTTCGGATTACAATTCGAAGGGTTTCTCCAAAGATCTTTATGGTTGGGGGTAATTTGAAGAATCAGACAACAATTTGTTGATGAAATAGAAGAGAGGGAATTCGACATTGTCATTATTTCTCTACCAAACAAATGTAGGTCATGCTTCAGTTGGCGCACCAATTTGATCCAAAGTAATCGGATCAAACAGACGCTAAAGACAAAAAGAAACTAAAATCTTGTATATTACAATGTTAAATCTTGTCTACTACTGCACATGCTTGCTTGTATATCTCTTGTATCAGATTGATAATAGTACTGTTTCGTTTGTTTTGCATGCAGACAAGGGCAGCTAAACCAGTCATGGGCATGTATTACAGAGAGCCCATAAAATCAGGACCAGTTCCTTATCATTTGCTCCAAAATTTGGTAAGAAGCATTAACGAAGACCATTTTGTTAGTGATAGTGGAGAAATAGTGTATTATCAGAAGGATTCACAACTCTCTTAGAGATTTTCTTCCACCAAGGAGAGTGACTACTGATTCTTCCATAGACCAAGAATTATCAGAACTAGTTTTTCTGACTGTATTTTCTTGTTTGGGCAGCCTCATGAATAGGTTGTGGTGTCTGTTATCTTGATATGCTATTTCTTTTGTAATCAGATAATATAATAATTTGTCATTGTTTTTTATGTCCCTTAGAAATTCCATATTATGATAATTTAATTGGAAAAATTGCAGCAGTTTTCCCTAACTTTTTACTTTTTTTCCCCAAACTTTACTCTTACCTTTATTTTGTGCAATCACAGTCTCAAACTTTTCAAAAATATGCACCTGGGCCAAATGAATGAAATTTGACCGTTAGTTGATCAGAAATTTAATCAGTTTTGACCAAATTAAGAATGGTAAAATGGTATATTTACATTTTTTCCAAATATTAATAATTAGAACAATTAAACTAAAAAAATAAATAAAGAAATATGCCCCAATCACACCCACCCACGTACACATCTTCATCTTCTCCTTGTCGGCAACGACCACTTGCAGTTGCCCACCCCATATTCATCTTCTTCTCCACCTACAGTTGCCCATCTCATATTCATCTTCTCCTCCACCTACAGTTGCCAACCTCATATTCATCTTCTTCTTCAAACTATTGTACATCTAGCAGCTAATAGACCTGTGGCAAAAGCTGCTAAATCGTAGATATAGAACATGGGTATTGTGCAGATGAAAGACGAAATCAGGCAATTGAAGGATGAAATCAGCAATCATTACAGTCAAACATGAGCTCCAAATTAGGCAATTTCCCAAGTGTGGTCGAAAGGTAGGGAAATGGCGGTGGATTTAGATTTGGATTTGGACGGTGGCTGAAAGATAGGAAAATGATGGTGGATTTGGGCAGTGTTTTTGGCAGAGGAATAGTGGTGGTTTTGGGCCGTGGTTGAAGGTAGGGAAATGGTGATAGATTTGGGCTGTAGTTTTGAGCGGGGGAATGGTGGTGGATTTGGGAGGTGGTTTTGGGCGATGGCTGAAGGCTATGGAATGGTGGTGGTTTTAGGCTGTGGTTGATTAGTTGTCGGTGTGGAGGTTGTGGTGGTGCCGACTGCTATAGGAAGAAGATAAAATTTGGGTTGGGTTGAGTTGGGTTGGGGTAGGGTGAAGGGGTTTGATTTATTTTTATTTTTTGTTTTTAATTTAATTTAATTTAATTTTTAAACTTATTTAATGTAAGGAAAATAAAAGTACTATTTTGCCCTTTCTAATTTAGTCAAAATTGATTAAATTTTGATTTTTTTTTTATCAACTAACAGTCAAATTCCATCCATTTGGACCCAAAGTGCATATTTTTGAAAGATTTGAGACTCTGGGTGGCACAAAGTGAAGATTATGGTAAAATATGCAAAAAAGTGAAAAAGTAGGGATCGCTGTTGCAATTTTCCCTAATATAATTAGGTGTTCTTTATTGCTCTCAAACTAAATTGTATCGGTAAACAATAGTATTTTGGAAATGGCACCATCCTATCTCGATTTACTAGAAAAACCGAAAACTTCTTTGAAAAGAAGAGGGTCATAGCTCAAAAATCATATCATAAAAAATGATAAGATATTATTGAACTTTGTGATTCTTGAAAAGAATCGGACTGAGTGGATCTAGTCATAACTTGAAAAGGGTAATTAATACAAAATATCCAATCGCATGTATTTATTGCATAAATCATCATTTTCGTTTTAAATTTGACAATTGTACCCTCGTTTCAACCTTTTTTTTATGGAGTTGGTTCTTTTTATTTGATTCCGTCGATTCCTTTTGTTAAATATGGATAATTGGTTCAAAACATCCTTATCATTTGCCTTTGTTGCGCAACACAATGAATTATTGTTGAACTTTTATTCATAAGAACCGAAACGAGTGAATTCAGTTATAACTTGAAAACTATACAAGAATCTTGTTAGCTTGCCCGTAAATAGATCCAACCGAACTCTTTGATCCTAAGTTTTTCAACTTTTTTGAATGGATGCTGGGGTGGGATTTTTAAAAAATCAAGCTACATGTACAATATTCGACATTATCATATTCATCTATTATAAAAAAAATTATTTTCGATATCATATGCTAGGAATTTGACAAAACAAGATTGTCGATCATTATTATCAATTAATGTTGTGCATTTAAATTTATTCGATTTTAAAGCATGGATTTTGTCCGATGATTGTTATCTTGTGGCTCTGGAATGTGTGTAAAGATTTGGAATAAACTGTCATGGGTCTGAATGACAGTTCAAAGCAAATCCTGCCAAACAATCCGCAGGTGGCGGAAAATTTACAGACAAAATGTGACCACTGCAAATCTGCAACAGTTTAATTTAAGAAAGCTGCAATTTTGTGCGGTTGTAAAAGTAATCACGTGACGTAACTATTTTTAAAATCTTGGACGACAAATATCGAGCAGAACCAATGGCTTCTGTCTCTGTCTCCTCCGCCTTGGGATGGGTAATTTTTGAGGTGGGAAGAACCACGAAGACGGGTATCTGACTATAAAAGCATTTTCAATGTTGTCATTAATATTCAGCACTGTTTGGTGCACATTTTGGGGGTCAAGAATGTATTTTTTTTTTATTATTGTGATATAAAATATGTGGTTGAAAAAAAAAAGAAAAATTATTGATGTGATAAAAAATATTATTTTATTAAAAAATGTGTGATTGAAAATAAATAGAAAAACGAAAATGAAAAAAATAACGTGACTCAAATAGGGGTTTAATAAATGATTAATTACAAAAATTAAAAAAAAAAATCGTCAACAATGCAATTTGATTGGAATTCTGTTAAGTTGACGTGACAATTTAAAAAATAAAAAATTGTTAAGAAGACTATTTAGATATAAAGACTGTTAGATGGAATGGGTTAGGCCGCCAGCAACAGATATTTTAACTCTCTCTCTCTCATGTGTTGGGGGAAACAATGAATATCTAACTATTAAGGTCCATAGGTCATGTTTGGGAGGGATTTAAATATTTTTATAGTAAATCAATTCTCATTTTCAACCATACATTCTTCAATAAAATAATATTTTTCTTCATATCAATAATTTTTTCTTCTTTTTCAACCACACATTTCCCATCATATCACTATTCAAAATCAATTCTTCCCCCAAAAATCCCTCCCAAACAAGCTCTAAGTTTGAATACACATAGAACGTTTGAATTAAAATTATTGAGTAAATTACAAATATCTAACTATTATAAAGACACCATGCATTCTCTTTTAGGCACCGCCTATAAACCTATATATATCATAAACAGTCTATACAGTGTTTCATACTATTGAAAAGACTCAACATATTCATTTTAGTATAAACAAAAAAGAAAAGTCAATTGAGCATTTTAAACCATGTGAAGCGCCACATAGTGTCTATGTTATGCAGTGCCTATGAATAGCATTATAAAAGAAATGTCGTGATAATTTCATTAGTTTGATTCATTTGCAATCTATGAAGTGAAATATTTAATTGTTCTCCCTTCCTTTTTTATGTACCTTTATTTTTATTCTTGTTATATCCATATGATTGAATCTGTTGACCCCAAAAAATGAGCTCAACAGAATCCCCACCATGTCCCCTCCAAGTGGACATCACCTGCACACGGAGCACCCCGTTAGGAGGCAAAGGCCGCCAGT